CCCCCCCCCGGCCGTACAGAGGAAGACAAGATACTGTGCTCTTAAGCCCTATTGGCTCTTTCGGTTCTCTTATAGATCAAAAACTTCATAGCAACTATGTCCTCGGGACATACATTAATTATCGGTTCAACTTTCAAACCTATTAAGAGCAGTAGTAGAGAGGATCATAGAGACGCATGAATAATGTAACCTACTAGTTCCCCAACTCCACCATCAACCAGTGTTTAACTGTGTTGGTTATGTGGGAAGCAATTGTGCGGTTGTGGAGAAGGAAATGTATGCACTTACTACATCAAACTCTGCAACTTGCACAAAACCTGCTTTTATTTTGACTCCATGTGTGTGATGTACAGCCTCTCCCTTTGCGTTGGGTGTTGGTATCGCGTCAAAGCCATTTAGGGTGGCTTTGAGCCAATGCATACAGGAGGATACTTAAAATTGAGTACTTAAGGTAACAGAGATGTTCCAGGTAGAGAGTAATAGTAGATCCTTGGTGCTCTCCTGTAGATCCTTGGTGCTCTCCTGTTGGCCGTGTGCTCAAAGTTAAACTCATTAAAACATGGTTGTGTCTAATGGCAGCTCACGAGGATACGGGGAGTGTTGTGTGGTGGCAGGGTTGTCTTGTGCCCTCATCTTGGGGTGCGTCTGCGTTGCGGAACCCTTTTCTTGGAAATGTTGGTGGCACAGCAGTGTGAGGGTGAAGAAAGTAGGAGCCATCTCGAAGTGAAGGGGGGGATGGGAAAGAGAGAGACTCTGATGAGCAAATGATGAGTTGTATAATCCTCTGAAAATGTATTCTTTCCTCTCCCCACCCTTGCCATAAACGTGGATTGTTGAATCAGGTCTGAGAGGAGAGGGCTCTGCTGGCAGATGTGTGCTCTCCTCTGCTGGCCCGGGAGGCTGGGGTTTGGTATGGTGAGTGTTTGACATCTCGTTTACAGGAATTTTGAGAGCGTGTCTGTGATTCATGGACATCAAAGGGCATCAAGCTTGTCCTGGGGAGGCTTTGCTGGAGCGCGCCCGTCCTCTCCTGCCCTGCGGAGAGCTTCCAGCTGTGCCGGGCTCCCCAGTGCCGAGCTGCTGGGAGCTGGGAGGGTCCTCTTGCCCGGGAGGGTGCTGTGGAGCCAGAGGCCTCTTTGGTCCTCTCCTGGAGGCCCTCCCTTGCCAGCAGAGGGGTGATGGGCGTGGGTGCAGACAGGAGGGATGCGCTTCGTCCCAGCGTGGCCTCTGGACCTCTCCTGCTGGGGGGGCTGCGGGGCAGGGGGGCCCCTCGCTGGCAGCTGGTCTGTGGAGGACTTGGGTTTGGGGATCCTCATCTCGTGCCTGAGTGTTACTGCCTGAGCATCTGCTGTTCTCCAGAACTTGGTTTGAACTGCTGCCCTTCGCTTGCTTTCCAGGAGGGGGATGTTTGATGCTTTTATCTCCCAGCCTTTGTTGGTATTCAGTGCTGGAAGGGCTTGGCTGTAATGTTCTACCAGAGCTGCAGGCTCTGCTAAAAACCCGCATGTGCCTTGTCCAGGAGAACTCTCGCAGAACTGTGGCTGCTTGCCTGATTAGTGCTGGTGGTTTTTTCCTTTTTTTTTTCTCCTTTTCTGTTTTGTCCAGGGATTAATGCAGCTCGCTCCTCACATGTCAGATCTACCCTCCTAGGACATTAGGTAGTGCATTTTGCTTTGATCACCTTCTGTTGAATTTCCAGGAGCTTTTGCTCTCCATGGGGCCAAGAGATCTCAATGCAAAGAGAGGGAGGTCAAGCTGAGATGCTTCTCAGTTCCTCCCTGAGCTATCCATTTGTGAAGCCACTTGTGCGTGCATGTGCTAGAAGCTGATGAGCATATGGATGGGTTATCTCTCATCACTCAGCATTTAGGATTGCGTTTAGGATTGGAGCTGAAGCTTGCACAAAGTCTTTCCTGGTGAGTGGCCAAACCACACCTCCCTCCTCGTGTGTGTGATGGAATTAAAGAATTTCTGCTCGGCGTGTTACGGTTTTGAAGCGCTGTGCAGGCTCTTGCTGTTCGCTTCGGTGGGTTTCAATGTGATTATACCAGAGAAAGCTGGGAGCACTGGGCTGAGCACACCTGATGGTGGGAGCAGAACAATCTTGGGCCAGCCTGGTGTTGGGATGGGAGGCCACCTGGAAATCCCAGGGCACGGAGTCACGGCCAAAAACACGGCAAAGGGGAGACCGCAGAAACCGTACAATTTGAAAGACTTTGTTTGGCCCCAGCATCAGTGATGGAGAGGAACAGGAGAAGTCGAGTGAAAACACAGTGTTTGTACCTGGCTGCAGAACAGGCATATGCATGCAAACTGCTGGTTGTATATTTGGAGCCCTAATACAGGGAATTTTTTAAATGTAGAACCTCCCTCTTGTCCTTCAAAGTGACTCCCCTCCCCTGTAGGTTGTGGTGTATTTAAAACTGGCCTCCCCGCGCTGCACTGGACCTGGCCCCATGCTCCAGGAATTCCAGCTATTATTTATATGCGCTTCTAAATTTATCACGCACGACTTTGTGTACACAGAGAGTGCTTCTTCCTTTGCAGTGCCGCTGTGTAACGTGGTTCTGTTCTGCCCAAGGTGGACTCATCTGCCTCCCATTAAGCTCTAACATCAGTGGGACTGGCCTTGCTTTGAGAAGGCTGGGGCTTGCAGATGGCCTTCTGCCGGCTCCCAGTGCTTCCTGGCCTTTGAAAGGACCCGCCGGTGGAGCTCCTTGTGTGTGAAGTTATTGGAACCAAGTTTGGCTTCAATTATCAAAGTAAATTATGCCATTGTAAAGCTATGCTCGAAGCAGTGTTCTACAATTAGAGCATGGAAGCTGTGATTAACATAGTTTTGTTAAAATATACCTTTTTTTTTGCGGGGGGAGTTTATGCGTGTGTGTGGTTTTTTTCCTTTTTTTGTTTTTAAACTCATGAGTGCCCAGTGATGTTTGTCCCAAGAAAATACTTAATGAGATTCAATCTTGCCTCAGAATGCTCCTTGTAGATTTTCTTTCTCTCTGTATAAATCTGTGGTTTGAAGTGCCAGGGTGCTTTTATTTCTGAGAAGCAGGGTTTGGCAATAAAAAACCCCCACGCTCTGAAATCGCACTCTCCTAACAGGGGATGCAACCAAGAGCCCCTGAAATTTTCACGGCATTATAATACCTCTGATATGCCCATTGCCTAACATAGCATAGAGAGAGTTACATGCTGTGTGTCATCGCATCAAGATAAGAATAGGCTGAGAAACATCAGACATTCTCCTTGAAGCTCCAGAGCAACTGCTACCTGACAGCTGAAAACACTTTGCCTGTTGAGTTCGGAGCTGGGGTGTGTGTTTGTGCGCGCAGCATCTGCGGCAGGAGACCACCGCTTTCCGCTGGAATTTAAAACCCTTGCAGGCAACGCGATGCATCTGGGTGCAATTACTGTAGTAAGGTGGTCGAATTAAAAACAACAACAACAACAACAAAATTAAACGTAGCAGAACAGTCGCCGTTGGTTTTCTTGAAGGATGTGGGGGTTTCTCTGGGGCACTGTGGTGGAGGTGGAGTTGCGGGGGGGGGCTTACCTTAACAATATGTCAACTTTAGGGATTGCTGGTAGCTGAATGGGTGCTGCAGTCCAGTACTGATGGGAAGATGAATTAGTTCTGGCCACTTTCTCTAATTACATCTTTCCAAACGCTGGGTTTGGCCACACCTCCTCTGCCTGTGCTGTATTCATACAGACCTGCTGCCTCCGCCCCCACCCCAGCCTCTCCAGCCATCCAGCTGCTGGAAGAACATGGCACATCAGCCCTCCTGGATGCAGCCAGGGATGACACGGATACCGCCCAGCAAGGTGGTGGTCCTGTGCTGGGGAGCATCCTGAGCCTCGTGGTCCTCAGATGAGCTCTCAAGACCTGAGATGGTTGCAAATCAGTCAGTTATGAGCTGCATCCCTTACACAGTTGACCCAGAAGCCCACCAAGGACCTAGGAGGGGTCGCTTGGACTGCACATGAACCAGAGTAGAAGACTACATGGCTTTTAGAGGAACTTTTTTGTTGTAGTAGTAGGGTAACTTAGCTTTCACCCACATGTGGAATTAATTTATCTTTGAAGATTTAACTTCTTTCCTGTGGCATTCCTTACTATCTTTTTTTTTTCTTTTTTTTTTTCTTTTTTTTTTTCCCCCCTCCCCTCCTTCCCAGATATATATTTTTTAACATCTTGATCTCCCCATCAGAAATGCCTTGGCCTCCTTCAGAAAGGAATGCAGCCCCGGCTGGGCTGAATACCTGCCTGCAGCCAGCCCCGCGCCTCTCCTACCAGAGAGGCC